AATATTTGTCACTGTAGTTTTGTGGGGAGACAAACACTTCCATTTGGGTGATTTCTATCAAATCAGAGAGGTGAAAGCATCCTACAGAACTGTTGGAAGGGTATCTTAACTCTGTTGCCTGACATACACAGTCTATCACCTAATCTTGCTGTCAGTGTACAATCTCCAAAATGTGGAAAAGGCTGAGTTGTCTGATGAACTGAGACAAGTTGTGACTGTTGCTTGGGGCAGTGCCTGAGGTTGTGTGCTTGTGGTGGTTTTGACCTTGGCTGGATGGCAGGTGCCACCAAGCCGTTCTATCACTCCCTTCCTCAGCAGGACAGGTGGGGAGAAAATGAGATGGAAAAGAACCCAAAAACCTTGTGGGTCAAGATAAAGGCAGTTTAATAAAAAAAAAAAGCAAAAGCGAAGGCCATATGTGGAAGCAAAAAAAAGGAAACAAAGATTTTATTCTCTACTTCCCATCAGCAGGTGATGTCTAGACACTTTCTGGGAAGCGGGGCTTTGGTATGCATAGTGGTTGCTCCAGAAGACAAATGTAAATAACAAATGTCCCTGCCTTCGTCCTCCTTTCTCTTAGCTTTTATTGTTAAGCCGATGTCATATGGTATGGAATATCCCTTTGGTCAGTTTAGGTCAGCTGTCCTGGCTATGTCCCCTCCCAAGATCTTGCCCACTCTAAGCCTACTGGCCTTTGAGGGTGAGTGGGGGGGTGAAGAGATAGCCTCAGTGCTGTGCAAGCATTTCTCAGCAGTGGTCAAAACACTGGTGTGTTATCAACACCTTTCTAGCTACAAATACAAAGCACAGCACTATGAGGGCTGCTATGGAAAAATTAACTCCACCCCAGCTAGATCCAATACATATACATGTAAGAAAATTTCTAGACTTGAATCCTATTGTGTTGAGGAAGAATATCTCTTATAGCAGACAGAGAGAGAAAGAGGGGGAGAGAGAGGGAAGAGGGAGAGAGGCATTCCCTTATGAGAGGCATTTGGCTACAACATTAGCAAAGAATGAGTCAAAAATAGCTCCCACTCTTTTGGCTGTCACCCAAGTGGGAAAAGTAAGTTGTTTAATTTTTGCAAGAAGGGATGATCCAAAAGAGCAGTCACTGCAAAACTCTTGCTTATTGTCTTCTCTTCCCAAGAATTTGTGCTACTACCATGTAGTCCTAGTACATCCAGATAAGCTATTCTGAAAATGTGGCCAACTGTTAGACATCCCACAGACTTCACAGAGTAGAACGCACTTGGACTTGCTCCCTTCTGGTAGTGTTTAGACCAGATAGACTTTTTTCCCCCAAAATACACATGTACCTTCAGAGCTCAGTGTAACATGAGAATTCCTGAAGGACAACATCAGTCTTCTCAAGGACTGAATGAGGGTATTCAAGCAGTAATTCCTGTCATGAGAGAAAGGGGATTTCTAGGCACTGGCTTTCCCTTGCTTTGTACAGAGCCTGCAATCCCAAGCTAGTGCTGACTCAACAGTAACAGAGTGTGAGAAATTGCAAATGCAGCAGCTGTAATTGCTTGAGAAGTCCTTGCCTATCCATGAATGCTAAAAATTGAACTTCACATTCCAGTGGCAATTCCAAATAAATCACTCAGTAAAGTGATTAGGTTGTATATGAGCAAATTATACTGGGCAGGCAGTAATTGAAGATTCTCAAATACAAACTTTGTAATTAATCTCCTTTTCAAAATGGATAGCTCCAAGTATTCTGAATCTTTTTTAATAAGGTAGTCAGAGAACAACACTGCCTTTTCTTTTTTTTGTTTCTGGCTGCTCCTAGGCAACCCACTGCTGGGTAAATACAAATACGCTGTGCTCCCCTAAATATCACAACTATTTTTGTCCTTGGTTTTCTTTTTCATCAGATAGTTTCCTAAGATGTCTCCAAACATGGAAGTTTAGTGGCGGACTTGGTAGTGTTAGGTTAATGGTTGGACTTGATTATCTTAAAGGTCTTTTCCAACCGAAATGATTCTATGATTCTATGATGAACTTGACCAGTCTACTGCCTTTGAATCAATTTCTGTCTATGCAAAAGTATGGTTGTGCTTTGTTCTCAGTAAGGACTACCAGTGCACTTCTGGAATACAGAACAGGTCAGGACCAAAGATAGTCACAATGCATGCTAATAATGTGCATGGACTCCTGGGACCACCGGGGACTCAGCTTTTTCCATAATGCAGGACCCTATGTACCTTGTTACAGGAATATTTATGGAATACTGTGAAGTAAGAGTGAAAGCTCTTAGATATGGTGGAGTTAAGGCACTTGATACCAGTATTGAATACTGATAATTTTCCTGGGGTGATGCAGTAGTAGCAGCAGTGCCTAAATTTCTAGTACCACAAAGAAGTCAGAACTTTGTCTATTGGCACTTTTAATTGACTTCAAATATTAGTGCTTATTATTTATTGAGCAGCACAGATCCTCTCCTTCAAATTTGTGCATGGAAATACTTTGTGAAGGAGGGAAGAGGCAATTCAGACTCTGTTTTTACAGAGAGTTTGTGAAAAGGCCTATCTCAAATCTGTGAGAGGTAAGGAAGGCAGTTTCTTGGCACTGTCATACTAGACCACCTTGGAGAGAAAGGCTCCACCAGCAAGCTTTGAAACTGTTAATATTTGAAGTGACATTCTTAACCCTGCAGAAAGGTCAAATAAAGATACGTGTGCAGAAAGCTCTGGTGGTGTCAGACAGTCACCAGTCAGCTCTGTGCAGTTAAAGAAAAGTAAATATGATATTTTATTGCCCCCAGACTCGCTGGGGACATGTAGGTCTCTTGATTCTGTAGGTATGCTATTACTGGGAATAGATACCTTGTGGTACTTCCCATTGGTGATTTGAGAAATTTATGAACTTCTTGGTTGTGTGTGATAAGCCTGAGGGTTATCAGTGGTTCACCACCAAATTTAAGAGATGACTGCTTTTCAGCAAAGCCTGAAAACTATCTCACAGTTTGAGGCTTCATGCAAAAACGTACAGCTTTTTAGAGGAGGGAAAGATGTTTGAATGCCTGAACTGTGACTATTAACTGTCAGAGTCTACCAATGTAGACAAATATTTTTGTGTTTCACTAGTATTATCAGAACACAGTGGTTCCTGTCTCTGATACCTGACACGCTGAGAAGCACAGAACACCAGGGCAGGCATGTCACCGTACCTCTGCAGCACCCCCTCCAGTGGCTTCAACCCTGGGATGTCCTAAGCTAGTTTGGGATGGGTTTGGGGTTTTCTGGGGGGTTGTTTCTCCCCCCCCATAAAACAGACCTTAGTGTTTTTCTTCCATGAAATTGTTTAACTGCTTTTTGTCTCAAGTAGAATTTTAGAGTCTACAGCAACCACTGTATGACAACTCATCTACACATTCTGTGCAGAAGTCCCCCATCTTGGCCATTTTGAATTTGCCACCTGGTATTTGCCTTTGATGCAGCAGATGAAGAATTACTGTGCTGGTTCAGACTGAAGTTTTTAGTTTCATAACCAAGCAGAGGCTGGATAACAAACTCCCCATGTTTACAACAGTTGCCAAGATTTCCTCAGAAATGAGACCTTTTTATAGAGTATCAGCATGAAATTTATTTATGTGAATGGAATGACCAAAATGATGCAATTTTAAACTTCTTTTCTTAGGAAAGAAGGCTATGCATTTGCACTGTGCATCCATCATTCAACTTCCTCTTTGTCATTTCTGTCCTTGTTGGCCTATATTAACTCCTCTGTCCGAGCTGAAGCAGTCTCAAAGCCCCTTAAATATATATACACCATAAATCAACATTTTGGTAGAGTCCAAAGTTAATGACTCCTTTGAGAAAAAAGTTTCAGTATAACCTCAACATTTATTTAGCCTGTCTGGCTTGCCTTTAGCCCCTCAGTACCCAGATGGGCCAGCCTGTCTGCCAGTCAGCACATCAGGCCAGTTTTGAGTCAGTGACAGTATTTGGTGATACGTCTCAGCTGTCAATAAGAGAACTGGGGGGAAACAAAGGTAATGTGGAAGGTGTCATTAAGAAGTGTTACTGACGGAGAAGGGAAGAACTAGAAACACTATGGGAATTCAGCTCAGGGAGCACGTGAAGACCAACTAAGATTACTGCTTTGGGATGGAGGGGGTGGAGACATAAAGAGTAGGACAGAAATCCATGGGAAGCCAGGCTTCATTAGTTCTGTTTCTAATGGAGTATCTTCCTTACTATCAGAATATACCTTTTTGACTAGAAATGAAATATTTACAAACTACAAATAAAATATTTGCAAAAATTATTCGGCAAGTATTTTACAGAAAAGTGATACCTCTCACTCAATTTACTAATAAATTCTATCTTACTGAAACATTTTAGTTTATTTTCTAAGATTCTGCAATGGAAGAGAAAATCTGCCTATGCACAGATACATTTCTCTTGCTATGAGATGAGAATTACTTCTATCTGTAGGACAGCGTGTTTCTTATGTTAGTGCTACATAGTGGAAACAAACTAAATGTTTTAATGGGTGAAGAAAAGAAATTGTGAAGCAGATGACTGGCCAATTTTAAGACTCATCAATTTTCCTTAAAATTTTTTTTCTGCCATAATATTTTCTGTGAATTTCCTGATTATTCAGCTGATCAGAAAAGCTGGCTTTGAGAAAAAAAGTTTAAATTTGTTCCTATTTTTGTTAAAATTTAATCGTTACTTATTTTTTATAATCCATGTTACAAACTTGGACAACCTTGTCAGCCTCAGCATAGCCCTAAAACATGGAAAGGGAACAAGTTGCTCTATAATAAAGCAGAACTAAACTGAGAGGAAGCTGTGCAACCAGTGCCAGACATAGTCCCGCCAGAGCTGGGATTTATATCTGTACAATTTGGGGTTGGCAATTTTCACTGGTGACTTATATATTCTAAAAAAGAAAAACCAAAACAAAACCCAACACAAAACCCCTGCCAAAGACATATTTTTGCCAGAGCACAGATTCAAACAGGAAAATAGTTGACAGGTTACCAGTGCAGTTCTTCTGGAAGTTGGGATTCTCTAGCGGGTGCCCTGGGATGCGGCACTGAAATCTGTGCTGCCAGAACTCAGGAAACCAGGGGTTGCGGGTGTTGGTGTCCAGACGCAGCTTCAGATAGTAGTCATCAAACGACAAGACCTCTGGAGACTGCAGTTTGATAGTGATGCCTCCATTTGCTTCAGGTTCGTAACCTTCAATGACTTCATCTCTGTCTGCCCAGCCATCACTGAAAGAGGTAAAAAACCACTTATTACACAAAACCAGGAAGCTTGTTTTGAAAAAGCAACCAGCCAAAGGCAGGCCAGCACCCTCGGAAGCAAGTGAGTAAGGGGGAATCTAAAGGTATGTCTAAAATTCATGCAGAGAGGGAAAGAAGAAAGCACAGTGATGGAGACTTGTAATGAGCAGTCTGACACATTTCATGCAGAGTCTTCATCAACTCATCTGGAATGATGAGGGTTTATCCTTGTCCCTTGGGAAGGGCTTTTTGGGCATAGCTTCTGGTGAGATGTCTTTATGTATGAAGGGATTCTGCCTTATTTAGGCTATCCTGTAAGGGGTGGAAACTGAAGGAGTTAATATCGATGGAAAGGAAACTGAGCCAGGATCCTGGGCATTTTGCAGAATAGATCTCAGCATTCATGGATCTTACAGCTAGAAGAGTAATTCAAATCAAACATAAAGTGAGAAATGCATTGTGTTCCAAGAGAATGGAATACGAATATGTGATAAAGTTGACCAAACTAAAAAGAAAACCACATGCTATTCTCGCCCTGCGTGGGGTTTGTGATAACATGCTCTTTTTTCTCCTTTTTTTTACACAATCAATGGATTTCTATTTTACTTCTCTGTTTATTCAGGTAAGAGTTACTTTCCAAAACCTGAAGATAAAATTCTTTCTTGACAATATTACTTCATGGAAAGTCTATTTTAACAGGTTTGAAAAAGTCCATTGGGCTTAGCATCTGAGTTTTAGTTTAGTTCTTTTAACAAGAAGTCCATTGATTTAGTGTCATTCTCCAGTTCTTATTAGGGTCCCCTAAGAACAGTGCTATTACGGTTTAGTTTAAGTGCAAATATAAGTCAGCCATTGCTTAATTTTAATATGCTGGGCATGTCATGAGATCAGAGAAATCGATTCTGACATCTCAGATGTAGCTCTGTCCACTCAGAATCAAATCAGTGGCACTGCTGCTGTGAAAAGCAGACAGATGAAGCACTTCAGCAGCAAAGAGCTCAAGAGGAAAAATGTGATTGAACACTGAGAGAAGTCTCCATTTCACCCAAAAGAGGCTTGCATCCTGAACTCCAAACAGACTGAAAGGCTGTCCTTGCTGGGAGCCTCTTACACATAGCCTTGAGAAGAGTGTCAGGGTGCAGACCATACCAGCTGAGGGCATTTATGAGACACTCAGCATAGATGTGTCTGGGACTCCACAACGGAGAATAGACAAGATTTGAAGTAGCAAGCTCTGTCACAGTCCTAGTCAAACAGGTGTAAAGTGACTATGCATTGGGCACATGAGAATCTTTGGTCCCCAGCCACCAGACTGAACAGCTGCATGGTTTAGCTGACATTCACATTAACTGCTGCATCTGTGCTGTAAGCACCTGGAAAAAAATGGCAGGTCTCCATGGAAATACAGGAAAGCCCATGTACTGAATGCTTTCTCTATGGCACACACGACCCAAGCCTCTATTACAGGAAGATATTTAAGATATGAGACATCTGGCAGCCCACTGACTGAATGATCAACAGATTCCTTTCAACATGGCCCTGGGGACCCGCAAAGCTGTACTTTAAGATGGCACTAAAAGGCACCTTCAAGCCAGGATTTCTTCTTTGTTTCCCCCTTTGCCAAAGCCTTGCAGTAGAACTACCCAAAATTTCTGAACTTACAAGCCACTGACGAATATCTACATATAGCCAAGCAACATGAGATGCATGGGTGTGCATGGTGCATCTCACACGCGGTATGAGAATGAAGAGCAGGGGGAGACGCAGGCAGTAGGTCACCAGAGGGAGACAGCGATGGCTGGACAGTCCCGCTGTGGAACAGGGGTGGGCATGATGCGGTACTCTCTCTGCCAGGCTGAACTCGGCATCATCTACTGGGTCACCTCTTCCCACAGCCAGTGATGTGGATTACTCAGGTCCTGCCCTTGTACCAGTATAGCCTGAATTATAACTACGTGGCACAGCCTTGGCCTCTTGAATTGCCACAGGAGTACACAGAGTTCCAAAGCCAAAATTTATCCATTCCTGCATGCCTTGAGTTTTGGAGAAGGAAAGAAACCACAGCTCATCCTCTCTGCAACCCCCCACTCCTCATTTGTCCATGTGCTGAGGGCAACTAGTAAAATGTACCATGCACCCTGACTGCTTCATGACAGATCACAGTCTAGATAACCCTACAAAGGTAAAACCAGGAGAACGAACTTTCTGGATTTCACATAATTCAAGCCATAAACTAGCACCAGAGGGGAGAAAAAGACAAAATAAATATTTCTTCTTATGTGGGGGAAAAACAAGCAAGAGGTCACTCTTACAGCATAAGTAATTGAGTCCTAATTGCATGATTACTTCATTATTTGTCACAATGTTTATGGCTTGCAAACTGTAGACTCAAGCAGAAACATTAGTGAGTCGAAAAGATTAAGTAAATTGGGCCATTTTTTACAAGATTTTCTAGAAAGGAGGTAGTTTCTCTACTGCTTGAATTCCTACCAGCCAAACATTAGAGTGATTTATTTCCTCTCCCCTGTAAGTTTGGCTTGGAAAATTGCCACATTCACTCTGAAGGCAAAGCAGAGCAATTCTGCAAAGGCAAGAGAAAATGTATTTCGAGTTCTCTGAGGGCAGCTGATGGAAAAGTCCCCCTAAATTGGAACACAGATTGTCACCTAATGTTTCTTTGTCTCTTTCTGGCCCCAAATGTTTTTTATTCTTTCTTCAACTTCCTCAAATTGTTAAATCTGTCTGATAACTTTTGTGTGCAGTGAAATGTGAAGAAAAGGCACTGGAATCAGAGAAAAAAGTTCATACGTGTTGAAGTTCATATGGTAGCTTTGCTCTACTTTCAGTTAAGTCAAGGAAGCAAAAAGGAGTCCTCTGGTCTCTTAGGGGACCCCTGCCATCCTGGCGGCTGCAGGCTGGCTGTACTGAAAGGTGCCCTAAGGGGGCCATGCAGCCCTACCAGCAGCTGTGGGAGGATTATCAAAGACCTAAGATCTTGTTATAATCTCTGTCTGTGTTCCTTTTTACTTTGTATATTTAAAAAAAAAAAAAAAAATTCTGGGAACTGTGCATCCTTAGTGCCATATGAATAAATGGATAGTGTTCCAGAAAACAATGTTAAAAAAAATTGACATTTCTAATGCTGGGCAACAGCACGATACTGAAGTCCAGATGACAGTGTGCATTTCAGTGACAGAATCACAAGACCAATAGCTGATTCAACAGAAAAATGAAATCTCATTAAAAAAGGCAGTGCATACTATTCTTTTGTTGTCAGAACTAAGCATTTTCCACCTACTTTCCTTCTTTTATCCTGCTGAGTAGCAAGTAGCACAACACATACCACTTTTTGCAAAAACATCTTTCTGTGTGCCTTTTCTGCAGATTTCAGGAGGTGGCCCAATATCCATCACCCAAACTGCCTTCCCTGATGAGTGTCCATTGTAGGTTTTGTGTGACTTTCTGGCCTTGAAACGTGCCGGCTGTCTTGTGCAACAGTTGTTCTGAAGCTCTGTGAGGGCGTTTAAAGTGTGAAGACAGAAACAGTGAGGGAGGGACAAGCATGTGGGTGTCAAACCAGCAATCACTCTGTTCGCTCTTAGGAGAGAAAGAACCAACTGCTTTTGTTAGAGTTTTGTGGTGTTTATCACAGTCAAAACGGTCTCTGATATTCTGCAAGCTAATCTCGGCCCAAGTCTCAGTCTGGTGGCTGACATTCATGCTGCCAAATCCAAATTCCAGCATTCAGTCACAAACAAAAAACAAGCAGAAAGGGAAAAAGCCCAGAGCTACCCCACCTAGCTTCAGAAGTCCTATTTTCCACTATCGCAAACTGAGTTTGAAGAAACAAAGCTATTTTTTTCTTAACCAGTTTACTACTCTGCTGATGTGTGACAATGGACATTTCTGAATTGTGGCTTCAGCATCTTAACCTCTCTGTATTTTCTGAACTGCAGACACATATATTCCTGTGACTGAAATACCAGGAGAAATGTAATGGATTTCCGATTTCCTCTCCTCTTCCAAACATGAACACTGTCAGCTGCTTTTCACAAGGGCTGATGAGACAACCAGCAATCAGGCTTTCTATTTTCATCTCCTCAGGACTTAACTCTTAAACTATGCAACAGCAGCTCTGCTCTGCTTCCCTGCACAGCACTCACAGCATTACTATTCCAGATGCTTTTTCCAAATAACCAAACATGCAAAAAGAAAACATACTGTTGTTTACGAAGACTACTTGCCCTGTGATTATTGTAGGAGGTAGCATCCTTTCACAGGTAAACAAAATGAAATGCATTTGTCAGTTGTGGGCACTGACTGGCAATTTGATCCCTGCACCCTTACAAGGCTTGATCCAACAGACCAAATCTGTAGAAGGCAACCGATTTAGCCTCCTCTGTCTGGAGGGCTGCATCATTGGCAGCTTTGTCAACTCCTTTGCATTAGCTAAGGTAATGTTTTCTTAAGAACTTTGCATTCATGATAAGGTTTTTTTATGCTGTGTTGGCCAAGTCATAAAATATATAAAAGAAATTAAGAGCAAAAAGCCCTTTATAAATGCTAAACGAATTATTTTTGCAATAATCCTTCTGCCTACAGCAGATATTCTTGTCATTATAAAAGCAAATCAATCAATCATATTAAAATAATTTCCATCTTTTTTTTTTGGATAGGTTCTGTTCCTGTGCTAGTGGATATTTTTATCCACTTTGAAAACAAAGTTACATGTAGCTATACCTATGTAAATTGGAAATGTTAGTTTCAAACTTTTAGCCTTCACAGAGGTTGCCTGCAGATATCCCACTCAGGTAGGGCAGCAGGGCCCCAGGTGACCATAACTGCCACACAAAAGGATCAGAGTCTATATTCTTGCTTTTCTCTCCTTTCCATAAAACTAAAGCCCATGTCAATATACTTTCCTTGTCACGTCGATATACATCCCCAGAGAGCATGTTTCTGAATGCCTTCTTACCGTTGCTCTCAAG